AAATGAAAATATGACTCGGAGTGAAGATCCTCATAGTATCACTCCACTCCATTTCAAATTTGATCGTTTTAGTGCAAGAGAGTTCAAGATTATCAGCATTTATAAAAGTTCATGTTTGGTAAAAAAAATATCGAAATTAATTTATATCTTCTAAACGGTAATAGATAGGTATAGGGAAATAGTATATGAATTTGTTGACAAAGTGATAATGAATCATAATACGATATTATATACGGGGTGTTCCATTTGAAAAATCAAAGAAGCCGCTACTTTATAGTAGAAGCGACAACGCCGCTTTGTCTAAAATATTTTGGGCGTGTAGGTCATATTGACTTATGCATACTGTGGAATTTTCAGGTTGATCCGTTGAATAGTTTGCCAGAAACGGCTAATTAACGCTCGTCATGAAAAGCCCTGCATAAGTATTCATGCATTTTTGTTATTGTGTATAACATTGATTCATTATTACTATACCTTTCCTCTTTCGTAATTTACCATATAAACGCTTTGTATCGTTAATGGTCAATAAACATTATTATTATTATTATTTTTAACCGTAGTGTGCGCTGGTCAGGCTCTATCCCCCGAAGCCCCGATACATTTGGGAGGGCGCGCCAGCATTATCAACCAACGACCACTCCCCACACCGTGGGGTAAGTGATCATTGTGTCCGAGAATCATCTGCCCTGAGCAAGCGCAGTGAGCCAAGAATGACAGCCTTCTGCATCTGTGCGGCTAAGATTTCTGCCTAAGTGCGGCAAGCCGGTATGATTTTAAGATTCGAGAGTAGAATAGCCCTGGCGCCGAAGATAAGATAGTCCCTAAGGTTTTGGGCGGAAAAGGCGGCATGCTCCGGATGTGTTTCACACCACAGCGCATGCAAACTCGCCATACACCCCCTTCGCGCAGGCTCACTACTCTCGTAGCAATGCTATCTCTTAGCTCATGCGTCCACTCAAAACGTCCGTTTCCATTGCCAGGTTTGTCATCGGTAGGCAAATCATCGTTTTGGGCCCCACCACCTTGCCCCTGACCTCTACGAGCAGGTCGATTGTGGGGGCCCCTTCCTTGAGAACCAAGTGTTGGGTCCAGCGGGTGGTTAACCCTGTGGACCCACAGCCAGCACCGGAGGGAGTTCTCCTTCCCGGGTGCGCCTGGGCTGGGCTGTCATTATTGAACAAATTCTTTAGAAACAGGTGCAAGAGGTTTGTAGCAACCTTGGTTTCCTATTTTTCCATTAGAAAAATTTGTATATTTCTGCAAAAATCATATGTGGACATCTTTAAAAAAAACTCATATATGCCTCATGGTTCTAAGCTGAATCCTTTTGAAACGCCTTCATTTATTACTGGTTTTCTAAGCAAAAAAAGACAGATCAATATTGTCATTTTATTTTTTTAAATAAACATATAAACAAAAATAAATACGTTTCTTTAAGCAAAACTTGGATATTTGTCATGTTCAATAAACATCGTGCACACCGATCTTGAGTCAACATGAACATCAAATCTCTTAACTTACATCGAATTCTATTTCCTAGTCTTACTCTATCAACTGTTTTCTAATCTGAAAGTTGACTAGTCTAGAACTCTTTTGATATTTTCATCGAAGTCTTGTCGGTATGTTGTTCATTTCAAGGCTTACTGTTTTCGAGAATCCATAAAATGCTTTGATTTCACTCATTTATACAGTTATAGTCGCCAATTATTACAATAATTGTGAATGAACTTAGTAAACTTTGGTTTAGTGAAAGACAATGAAAATCTCAGAGATAGAGGCATTTAGTTTAACACAAAATTCGTACACGGTTGATTAGTAAAGACTCATACAATTATAATATCCGTAGGTCACCTGACCTTGACAAAACTGCATCATACATTTGTCTCTAGAGTAACTCAATGCACTGCTTTTTCCCAATTTCCGCCATCATCAGATTCATCAAAATTCGGAAACCCACAGTCCGTCTAATATAACAAATCGTTAGTCATATATTCTCAGTACCGCTGTCTACTTTGAGTATGAGCCTGGGAAAATATTTTTCTGCCTTTGTTCATAATAAATCTATAGAAGCATTGCCATGCAAATTTCATTTCATAGTTCTTCAAGCTTTACTCAAAATGAAACTTGAACTAGATATCCTCAAAATGTTTCATGATCAGATCACATTGTCATACATAAACATCATTAGTGAGGAACGCAATGTCACACATATCAAATAAAATATATAAATAAGATCATTCCGTAGACGCCCAAAGTGGGGCATTCGAACACAACCCTTTCATCTCGCGCACAGTTCATTTGTTATCAGAAGTGAGCCATACAAATCGAGTAGCCAGCGTGCAAAAACAAATGCATTGTAAAGAGTGTCCCCACGGAAAAGTACATGCTGAAACCGAATACTGTCACACTTTGTACGACTGCAGGGTATCTAAAAACGACCTAGGGTTGTACGAAGGCTGCTCTCCCCCCATTTCAGCGGGAAGAACGTCTTTGTGGACGTGCTCGTGCAGGGTGCTCAGATTGTTTCCATGAACGTAGATCCTTTCCTTCACTCGCTCATTCAGAAACGGTTTTATCACAGTAAGCGCCATTTCAACGTACCAAGGCTGACAGATGAAATGAATACCCTTGAATCTTGCAGGGAAACAGTCCTGCAATCCTTCTATCATCAGCTTCAGCATATACGGCTTCAGGTTGGTGGTTTGCCTGAAGGTGAACTCTGTCCAGTCGACTATGACGACGAAGCCGTTGGACTGGTTGTGGATGTGGTCGATGAGGTGCTCTAGGACGAACAGAAGGGCTCTGTAAATACTGATCAGAGTATAACTGCAGTCCCAGTTAGTTCCTGTGAAGATCAGCACACTCCTGCCCTTGCGGTCCTTGTGGCTCAGCACTCCTGGAAGAGCGTTTTCGAGAGATTTCCTGATATCCGGCGCGTCTAGTGTCAGATTCTTAAACAGGTCCTGGTTTCTTTTCCTATACAGGTAGTAATTTTTCAAGAGATCAAAGCTCTCCGCCAGGTCGAACTTTCTCGCGAATAAGAACTTTTGTAGGGTTTTGTCGTCCTGTGGCAGGATGGATCTGAGTTCGGTATCTTCGCACTGCTGCACCATTTTCTTTATGGTTTGGATGGCTTCGGTTCTGTCCCGTTGGTCCGAGTATCTTGGAGCATTTTTAACCAACGTCTGAACGTTTGAGGGTCCCCATTTGTATTCTATAAACTCCGACATTGTAGATCTGTAAGAAACGAAAAATTGGTCAGTTTGATTTGTCCGAATTACAAAGGGGGAAATATTTGTAAAAAAATAAGTCAGAGGGCGTCTGGCCTGCAGAATATAGCAGAAACCTCTTGGATGAAATGATGTCAAAAATGGTACAGAAGAGTACTACATGGGCTTAAAAGTCTCGGGCCTGACACATAGATGACGCTAATCTTATTGTATTCATCGCTTTTTCAGTTAGTACTAACCTTCAAAAGAAAACTGTTGATATTTTATAATACTCTACTTATAAGTTTGTGAGTTATTGTGTTACGTGTGACACTACGTTTGTTATTTTCAAACAATGAATCAAAAACAAATCGTGTTTTAATTTCACACTGCTTCTTGATGGAAAAAAATGCTGTTCAAGTGAAGCAATGACTTGAAAAGTGTTATAAGTGTTTGAATTATACATTACAAAAATTCGAAAACAAGAAACAAAATAACAGATATATTTATAATCTCAGTTTTATTTGGAAAAAAATATGATACTTTGAAGTAAATAGAGAGGAATATTTCGAAAACAAAAGGCGTTTCATTTTCATGAAACGCCTTTTAATAGCTTTTCTTTTATAATTTTTCAAAGGACAATCTCTTTTTAAAGACCAGCAGTAATCGGCCATCATGTGACAATCCCATCGACCCTGATATCTTTCTTTCATTACTTTTAGATCCTGGTGGAACCGCTCTCCCTGCTCCTCACTATAATTTCCTAAATTATCTGGAAATGTATCCAAATGGTTTCGAAGATAGTGTAACTTGATACTCATATTTGCTCCTAGAATCTGAAAGTTTGTCAGCATATTTTGTACGATTTCTTCATAATTCGGTGCTTTATGGTTACCTAGGAAATTTTCGACTACCAACACAAAACTTTCCCAAGCTTTACTTTCCGGAACAGTCGTAACTTTAATAAAATCAGTGTCTTTCATCAATTGCCGTATTTGAGGACCATCAAATATTCCACCTTTCAACTTTTCCAACTAAGTTTTGGAAATTTTCTACAAATATATTTAAAACTATCTCCTTCCTTGTCCAAAGCTTTTACGAATTGCTTTATCATTCTTAACTGAATATGCAATGGTGGAAGTATAATTTTGTCTCTGCTCACCAACGGCTCTCTTATTACATTAGCTTTACCGACAGTTAAAAAATTTCTTTCAGGCCAAACATCTTGTTCCCAATGACGTTGCTTTGCTCTACTGTCCCACATACAAATGAAACAAGGGTATTTCGTGTATCCACTTTGTTGACCAAGTAAGAAATTAACCATTTTTAAATCCACACAGATCGACCATTGATGCTCCGAGTAATTGATTTTTTCTAAAACTAATTTGGCATTTTCATATTCTTCTTTGAGTTTTGTAGAATGGGCAATTGGAATTGATGCAAATTTATTTCCATTATGCAGTGAGACGCATTTTAAACTTCTTTTACAGCTATCAATAAAAAGACACCACTCAGTAGGTTTGTATTCTTTCAAACCCATATCCAGAAGCAGCTTCGCAATATTATTACAGTATACCAATCCTTCATTTTCATCAAAAAATTGTAAAAGCTCACTTTCTCGCGTTCTGTACGTTGTAATTGTAACTGTCGGTGCCAATACATTTTTTTTCTTTCAATCTTGAAGCTAACAGTTCTGATCCTTGTTTTGATAAATTTAGATCACGTATTAAATCACTGAGTTCATTTTGAGAAAACAACTTTGGCGTAGATGTTTCACCCTCCCATTCACTTCCACTGGTAGACTGATTCGATTTCTGTGAATTTGGCAACATCATTGTTTCTGAGGGCATACGAATCACTTTTGAAACATAAATAGGCCGAGGGAGATTTTCACTATGTAAAACAGGACATTTTGTAGACTGTATGTCTGGATATCTCCACGTTTGATTTCGATTAAAACCTTTAGCATCTACTACGCAAAAGTAACAATCATCGAAATAATTCTTAGGCTCCATCAAGATCATAGGAATACCAAAGTCTAATCCAGAACGTTCTCCTTTTTTCCACAACCACAAAGACTCAACGCAAGACTTACAAACTTTATTAGGAACCCATGATTTATCTAATTTGTCCATTTTAAAACCGAAATACTCAGCATAAGTTTCCTTAACAAAGTCTGTGATATTTCTTTTTTGTTTTTTTGATATATAAATACCACAAATATAACAGAAAAAATCACTACTATATTTGCACTTCCTTCGTGACAAACTCATGTTTAAAAAGACAAGATAAATATATTAGAACGGGCACTCAACAATTGAAACCCAATATTAACATATAACAACTTATCCAGATTTCCATGTTAGTACTTCAATATTATCAAATAACTGAGTTCTCAGCTGTTTTGCAGAGCAAGGAGCCCAAGAAGTGGGGATCACGTGATGTTTCTACCCGCAAAAAAGTTGCGCAGAAGCCTAATCATGACTGAGAACATATTTTTTTTTACTAACAAGCCGATTATTATTAAAAATACAAGATACGTCAAAAATCATAAAAAATAGAGCACATTCAGTACTTTCATAAAAATTTGCAAAAATATCCAGGGCAACATAAAAATTTTTTTTTGTAGAGCTGTGCTATCTTAGGAAATGAAATACCATCAACAGTGAATATTACATAGAGTTATTGAAGCGATTGAAGGCCAAAATTGCAAAGAAACAACCACATATAGCAAAGAAAAAAATGTGTTTCATCAAGACGATGTACCATGTCACGAGTCAATTAAAACAATGGCAAAACTACATGAATTGAACTTCGAATGGCTCCTAGATCCACCGTATTCGCCAGATTTGGCTCCCATCGACTACTGGCTGTTCGCAGGCTTCAAAAAAATGCTCGCTGGTGAGAAATTTCGCTCGAATGAAGAGGTCATTGCTAAAACTGAGGCCTAGGTATTTTGAGGCAAAAGAAAAATCGTTCTACAAAAGTGGTGAAATGTTTGAGCGGCGCTGGAATTGTTGTGTGGCTCTTGATGGGACTTTTCAGACCATGTGTTATGTCTCTTTAGAAATAATATTTGTGGATCATACATTGTGTTATACAGGACAATTAAATGGGTTATTAACTTTTTGTATATTATCGTATCATCCATGATCATGAATAAACTATTTTCACAAACGTTTTTCATTTCTAGAAGTGTTTCGCGGGTCAGTCCATCTATAATTTATTATTATATTCTCTGCAAAAAGTCTTTCGAAGTTCTACTACTAATATAAGGTTTTCTAAGTTTACCTGAATTCTTTATTGGAAAATATTACAAAATGTCACTGGGTAAACAAAAGAACATGAAACATTCCAAATCAAATATTGACCAATAAAATTGATCGTGTCTACAGCGGTGTTGCCAGGTGCCAATTATTTTAACAAAAATACGAAGTTATAAATCATTATAAATAGTACATTCAAAAGAGATAGCTGAATGGGTGGCAATACAGCTAATATATAACGCTGAGTTTCCTATTTTTGGTGGGTGGCACGAATACATAATTGATTTATTTTATTAGGGTTCATGAGCATTCGAGAACCATTTAAAAATATAGCTCGTCAAATTCTGTTTAGAACCATGGTTTTCGAGTATATTTTATTTCATATGGAGAATTTTTTCATTAATTTAAACGTTAACGGGTTCATATACACTTCCGTTATTAAAATTCCTGTGATATCAACATGAAAATGTCTACTGCCGGGGATATTTCAAAAATAACGTTTTTATTATCTTTTGTGTTATTTGGATCCCATGTATAATAAATTCTTCCTTTCCAGGCATTTCTTGCACTTGTTTCTTAGATTTAGTTGTCGGAGGTGACTGTGATTTTACTTTGAATCACGAATGAATCAGAAACTGTTTATACGCTCCGTCAATTTCACAATTTGGCAATGTTCATTATTTGTATTGTTCCTATTGGTCAATCGAACAAAAAGCGGGACTAGGCCCGTGACGTCTCGAGCCTAGAAAATCCGATTTTTAATAATTAATTACGGGAAATCAACGCTATTTAGAGAGCTGAAACAAAGTGCACTATTTTTCAATTTGAAAATACTACCAAACGAACGAACCAAAAATCATGAAACAAGCCCATTGTAGACGGGAACAATCACAATTTTTTTAGATTAATATTTTGGATTCGGCCTATAAGAGAAAGCACATAAAACCTGCTCACAATGGAGTGCCGATTTCATCGAATGGCGGTATGGACAGTTGTTACAAAAGAAATACCGAAAAAAAAAACTCTTCTCGAAAAAAACTTCCAAAAATATCCAAGCCGGTCCGGCCGAAAATTCCTATAGGAACATTGAAAAATTCATTACTCGAAAACTACAAAAAAATTCATAACATAAATGGGGGTGACTCCCATAAGTTTTGGAGTCTCTTATATGAAAAAACTTTTTGGATGCTTTCGTTTGAGCCACCCTTCAGCCTTTATTACCGCAAACAGCACACATCTCTGTGATCATTGTTCATTATCCATTTGATTATTTTTTTCTCAATTTGTGTATATTACTGGCCTTAGGCTGCGGGCTCGAAAATGGCGACGGCGGAACAGTGGCGATGCTTACAACAACATCGAAAGTATAGGTGACGCGCACGAAACGAGTGGTGGCGTTTCGTGATCACGCGAGATACTTCTCCACATCGCCCTGTTCCGTAGTCATCGCTCGGCCGTCGCCATTTTTGTCCCCGCAGCCTGATCAGCATGATCTTCAGATTGAACATCATTTCGTCCTGAATTAGTCAAAAACTATTCTCAATGTGTTGGTCTTTTACGTGCCAAAAATTCCGACCTGTGTAATGCCTTTGAATTGCAGCAATATCAGAATCAATTGACATTTCAACAGAATAAAGTCGCTAACAAGTAACAAGTTCCATTATTTCTTAGGTTCCATTAATTTTTTTTAAAATTAAAATACGTGATGTTTTTAAACAACCGAATACTACTATAGATAGGCTACAGATTTTTCTCTAGTACC